CACTCTCCATCACAGCCACAGTCCATTCAGCCCACACACAGCCCTTGACTTCCCTGACCTGAGCCTCTATGTGTGAGAAAGAGGTTGTCTCCACCTCTCCATAGGCCATTTCCTCTCTCTCACTCTAAAAGCCATAAAGGTCTACTTTCGACCAAAGCACAAAAAATTGTAAATCTACAACTTTAAAAAAAATAAAATAAAATAAAGGGAAAAGAAAAAAAGAAAGAAGAAAAAAAAGCCATAAAGGTGCATTCCTAAACTCTAGCTCTCAATTTAATCGAAATTATAATCAGTAAGTCTCAGTAGCATAGCCAACCCATTTCTTCCCTGCTGCTATTTAGTTATGCATTTGAATAAATTTTCTAATCTTTCCTACACCTTGATTTTCTCATTTGTTAAAGTGGGTCCAACTCAGGGGGTATGGTGCCGCCAGCAGGTCAGTTTGTACCTGTGAGGTGAGTGCATCAGCAGCCTGATGGCACCATCAGGCTTTCAGATACCGAAAATTGCTGCTGTGCCTTTGGCCAGACCCCAAAAACTTGGGGCAAAGTTTACCAAGAAAGTAAACAGCCAAAAGTTAGGTATGTGAGAGACACACCAACAAACCACCTCTGGCTCAACTATATAATTGGAGGCATGGCCTCTCTGGTTCCTGATCGAACTGCTTAACGGCCATGATCCCAGAGACTCAGAAACGAATCTCGGAACCCAAAGGCTTTTGGCAGAAATGCGTCTTGTTCCTGCAGTAGGTTACTGGCTGGACCACTCCAGGTGGGAATAGGTTTCATGCCTTGGCCTGTTCCCCTTGGCGGCCCAGTGACCACCATCCTCCAGAGGCCACTGGACAGTCATGTTTGGGCCTGCAGTGAGGAGACACGCGGGGCCTCACCAGATGGGGGTGGAACCAGTCCTTTCCTCCCCATCCCAGCGAGACCCCAAGTCGCCGCCTACAAACGGCCTCTCTGGCTCCTGATAAAGCTAATTAACGGCCACGATCCCAGAGACTCAGAAACAAATCTCGAAACCCAGAGGCTTTTGGCAGAAATGCATCTGGACCGCATACCAGGTGGCTGCCGCCTCAGAGCTTCTTGGAAAGCCAGGTATGAGCCAGCGGTGACGGGGCAACTGCAGTCTCATGGGAAGGGGTAGGTACCGGCTTGTCCTTCACGCCCTACCAAGGTCACAAGTTGCTCCCCACAAGCGGCTCTCTGGCACGGCCATGGCTACAGAGGCAAAAGGACTTAATCCAGAGCCCGGCAACTTGCGTCAGAAAAGTGAATGGACCATGCGTTAAACTACGGCAACATGCCTCCCCGGGAGGGAAAGGGTGTTGCTCCCTTCTGCCTTCCCCACCCCACCCCCAGCAGCAAGGTGGCCACCGCCTCAGAGCTTATAAGAAAGCCAGGTATGAGCTGGCGGTGACAGGGCAACTGCAGTCTATCATGGGAAGAGGGGGTGGTATTGGCTCGTCCTTCACGCCCTACCGAGGTCAAGCGTTGCCCCCCCACGAGCGTCTCTCCGGCACAGCCATAACACCAGACGCACAGAAACCAATCTGTAATTATCTGGCTCTTTGCAGAAATCCAAAATCGCGTGGCCGCAATAGCAGCCACGCAACATTGTTTGATTCTCATAACCAGCTATAGAAAACAAAGTATTTTACAATGCCTTTTCAGCAATTCTGATTGTTGGCGGGGGGGGGGGGAATTCTAAACTATAATGGTGCATCTTTTGTTGAAATAATGAATGTAGTCAATGTAGAGAAGAGTTAAGTGGAAATCATCTGCCGCACAGGCATTGGGAGGGGGGTATATTGGGGTTCTTGGTGGTGAAAAATGAGTACCGGTGAAGGGAGAGGTGTTTGATCATTGTGTGACCAAGACTTAAACCTGAAAGCTTAGTAAATTTTCCCACAGTGATTCAATAAATAAATATAAGAAGAAAAAAATAAAGGTGAATGCTTAGTTATAAAAAATAAATAAATAAAGTGGGTCCAACTCAGAATCATGATAAGAATAAAATGACTCAGAAAAAAAATGTCCAGCACAAAGTAAATAGTAGTTACCACAAATTATTCTTAGAATTAGAGCGATAAACATATTCCTATATCTCAACTCTTCAAATCATGATCCCTTCAATGACCTGCCCTGGATCAGATTGCACTTTACGATTGCACTCATTTGTGAGATATAAAAAAGCATACTATGAGACTAAGACCCAAGGACAGTAGAAACAAGTGCCAGGAGGATTGGTCCACTGTTGGAAGCCTGCCACAAGTGCTGAGGGAGAGGGCAGTTGGGATAGAGAAGGGACCACTACGACAATGATGGTTGGAAGTGATCACTCTGGATGGAAGCTGCATGCTAAAAGTAGGTTAAGAACCAAACAAACATGATGACCTCTCAGTATCTTATGAACCACAATGCCCAAAAGGAGAAAGAGAGAGACAGAGACAGAGAGAGACAGAGAGAGAGAGAGAACTGTCTATCCTAAAGACAGACTAGGGTGGGAGTGGGGTGGCAGGAGGGAAACTGGGGACATTGGTGGTAGAAAATGTACACTGGTGTGACCTAAACAACAACAACAACAACAACAACAACAACAAAGTAATATAGGTCAATGTAAAACACTCAGACATAATACAGAGAGCAGGGCACTTGCCTTACATGCTGCTCACCTGGGTTTGATCCCTGGCATCACATATGGTCTCCCAAGCCCATCAGGAGTGATACCTAAGTGCAGAACCAGGAGTAAGCCCTGAGCACCACCAGGTATGCTGAAAAAGAAAAAAAAACCTCAGACATCAAAAAAAAAGAAAGAAATTATCCATAATTTTTCTCAATACCATTTGATATAATATTGGAATTTTTTGTTTTGCTTTGTTCTTGAGCCATACTCAGCTCTGCACTCAGAGATCACTCCTGGCAGGCTCGGGGGACCATGTGGGGTGCTGGGAATCAACCCTGGTTTGGCTGCATACAGAGAAAACACCCTACCTGCTGTAGTATCTATTGTTCTGGCCCCCTAATACTGGAATCTCTTAATCAGACAACTGATAAGAACTGGTGGAGCAGAGAGACAGCTCAATAGGCTGAGCATATGATTTATGTGCTGAAAGCTGGGTTCAATCCCAGGCATATGGTTCCCTGAGCATTGCCAAATAGGAAGAAAATGCAAGAAAATACCATACCAACCACATCCTCTGCCTCTCACCCCAAGACCTATGTTCAAGGAAGCGGATAGGTACTAGAGATGAGCCGATAGTAATCAAAGACCATCAGGAAGAGAGAACTGAAGGCATGACAGACATTCAAGTAGGCTTGCAAAGGCCGAGACCACTGGGACCAGTAGCTCCAGGTCTCAGGACAGAGCAGAGCTCCAATATCCACTCTACCTGGCCAGCCAAGGCCTTCTTCAAGGAAGAGGACTCTGAACACTCCAGGTTCTCAGCTTTTCAGGAAACTCCCTAAGTCTTGGCTGTTCACTTATTAATCCAACAACAAAGACAGCAAATAGTTACTGGGCACCTACCATCAATTTCTTTAGGAAGGGATGGGATTTTGGGTGCTCAGGGGCTATCCTAAATTCTAAGTTTCTCCAAGTTCCTGGGTCCACAGGTGATCTTCTCCAGGGAATGCATAAGTCAGGAACATGGGATCTGCATGGATTGGCACAGGACAGAGGGGACGTATTGATTCCTGACTTTGTGATTAGAAGTGACCTCTGGTGGTGCTTAGAGGGACAATATATGATGCCAGGGACTCAAGTGACTCTATCATGTGGGTGTGCTCTGCCAACATGCATAGTGTGAATTCTGGAGCTCCTACTTGCTCTAGAAGCCACAGTTAATTGTGGGCCACTTCAGTTCCAAACCAACAGAGCCCTAGACCACTGGAAGGACAAAAGTATGTGCTGAGGTACCTTATTTCTGAAAGTTGGTACGTGACCCCCAGGCTTGAGTCCTGCATGCAGACCAAAGGTCTCAAACTAGCTACATCTAACTCCCTGCACTCACAGTCAGACCAGAGCAGGTAAAATACAAACACCTGTTGTCCATCCTAAACTCTAAGGTCCCCCCAAGTTCCTGAGTTCACAAAGGACATTCTCCAGAGGATGCATGAGCGGGAAATATGAATTACTAACCAGTTAATTCATACGGATTGACACAGGGGAGCAGGAAGCAAGGTTCACCACATATGGACACCACAACGTCAGCAACCCTAGGACTAAGCCCGTCCACCTAGCTGACCACAGTACCTGGGTCTTGGTCTCAGAACAGGGAAATTAATAATATTGCAGGAGCTCACCTAAACAAGGGCAGCTAGAAGGGCCGTCAGGGACCCTGGCAGAGGCTTCACCACCTCCTAACAACTTGAGGGTTCCACCCTGAAACTGGACAACCTGATGATTCAGATCAGAGCCCTGAAACTGCACAACCTATTGAGTCAGGTCTGAAGTCCAAGGCACAGGGCACCGAGGAACCAAGATGAGGGGATTTCATTCATTTCCTTCTCTATAAAAGAAGCAGTAAAAGCAGCGACAAAGCAGCAAGTCTCAGGGGGTGCAGATACATAGTAAAAGTCTCCTGCAGCGGTAGGAGAGCCAGAACACCCCCCCCCAAACACACACACACACACTCACACACGCAGATAAACACACAAACACAGACACACACACACACACACACACACACATCCTCCTCAACACCAGGCGCTCTCCACCACGAGCCACCCCGAGAGGGTTGATTGCCGGTTCCTGGAAGGTTAGAATCCCTTCGGAGACTCCTAAACGTCCAATAACCCTAATCTGACCGCGCCACCGCTGGAGTTCACACAGTCGAGACCGCCAGCTCCCGGCAGCACCCCAGGCCCGGGCCCGCGCCCGCCCCCGCCGCCGGAGGCGTCATCTAGAATAGTGGGTTGCAGAAGGAAGTGCCGCAGCCCTTCGGGGCCCAGTGACCGGAACCGACGCCTGATCCTAAAACATGGACCCCCCTTCAGAACCCCTCTCGGACCCCTCTCTGCAGCAGACCCCAAGTTCCGAAACCGGTCCCTGCGGTGGGCTGGAAAATTTCCCCAGCGCCAGCCTGAGGGCGGGAAGTATATGGTAAGTGGAAGGAGGATCCGGCACCCAGCGCGCGCGCGTTGGGGACTCCGGTGCCAAGGCGCCCGGCGGGGAGCGAGGGGTGCCGCGCCAGGGGCCGCGGGTCGTACTGACCGCGCCTGGTTGTGGCCTCACCCGGGCCGGTGCGGGACGGCTCGCGGAGAGCGCGGATTGCTGGAGGGGGACGGGGGCCTGCTCTTTCAGGCAAAATGGCCCCCGAGCCCCCTTGGTGCCTGTCGAGGAATTGGAGTACGAGATGTTCGTCGGCGAAGGTGGATTCGGCAGGGTGTTCAAGGCAAAGCATAAGACGTGGGCGGATGAAGTGGCGGTCAAGATCGTGAACGCGTGAGTAACCTGTGCGGTGGGCACCCCTCGCGTGCGCGCGCGCGCGCGCGCGCGTCTCTGACCAGAACGGGGAGACAGCGCGCTCGGACCTGGAATGGGAGGAGGAAAGGGGGCGCGCCCCGAGAGCAGGAGCGGAGCCCCGCCGCAACTTCTGCTACCCCGAACACCCTTCGACTGTAGGGAGTCCATATCCGACGAGGTCAAAGCCATGGTCAATCTACGGAACAAGTTCGTGGTGATGCTGCTGGGGGTCACCAACGAACTGCAGTGGGGCGGCAGGGCAGGACCTGCCCTGGTGACCCAGTACATGGAGAACGGGTCCCTGGCTCAGCTACTGAAGCCAAACTGCCCGCGCCCCTGGCCGCTTCTCTGCCGCCTGCTTTGGGAGCTGGTGCGCGGCATGTGTTACCTGCACAGCCTGAACCCGGTGCTTCTGCACAGGGACCTCAAGCCCTCCAACGTCCTGCTGGATTCCGATCTGCACGCCAAGGTAAGCCCATGCACGCTCCAGCCCTGCCCCCACACACCGCCCCGCCCGAGGACGCGGGGGGGGGGGGGGGCGGGGGTGGCGCTGCTACTGCTGCTGCTGAGTTTCCTGAGCACCTCCCCCGCCCCCACAGCTGCCTAAGAGCCTGCGCAGGTGCCTGTATGCCAGGTGACACAGGCCATGCATGACCCATAGGATCAGTCCAAGAGCTCCCCATATCTACCGCTCCCGGACTCCCCAGACTAGCACTTTAACCCAACTCCATGGAAAAGGGATCCAGAACTCCAACGCAGGGCCCATCGGGGAAAGGGGGTGGCGGGGGCTACCATTCCCTTAACCCTCCACACCAGCTTTCCAAGGAAGTGCCTACTAAAGGCAAGGCATCGCTGCTGATTCTAGAGGAGGGCAGAGCATCCTGGGGTTCTGGAGGTTGCCTGGCCCTGACCAGTCCTCCCTATGTTCTCTTCCCTCCCTTCGCAGGTGGCAGACTTCGGCCTGTCCACATTTCAGGGAGGTTCCCAGTCAGGGGTAGCAGTTGGAAAAGCACGGGGTACCCTGGAGTACCTGGCCCCAGAACTGTTGGCTGATGTGAATCAAAGGGCCACCAGGGCCAGTGATGTTTACAGGTGAGGTGCTGCTCCTAGCACCTACTCCCAATAAGCTGCACCTCCCTGGGTCCTTCTGGGTGGAACTGGGGAGGGAGAGGACTCTGGCTCCCACTTGGGCCAGCCCTCAGTTCTGTGTCTCCTGCAGCTTTGCCATCCTGTTGTGGACCGTGCTCGCTGGAAGAGAAGTTGAGAGTAAGATTCTAGGCAGAGGTACCCCAGGGTCCTCTGACCCCGAGACCCCAAGCCCTCCTCTCTGCCTGCTTCCCCCACTGTCCAGATTTCCAAGGGCCCCTTGCATTCCAGTCCCTGCCTCTCCATCCGATGGAGCCAGTGGCCACTCGTACCCTGAGGCCTTCTCCCCAACCTATCTCCTCCCCAACCTATCCCAGCTGTGTCGAACTTCTCACTGATGGTGGAAACAGTTGGCAAGAGGGACATCCGTCCCCCGCTGCCCGAGACCAGCTCTGAGAAGCCAGGCTTTGAAGAACTGAAGGAGTTAATGCAGCGCTGTTGGAGCCCTGTCCCCAAGGACAGACCTTCCTTCCAGGGTAAGCCCACTGATAGCCTGGCCTGGGTCTGCCTGCCCCGGTAAGTTCTGCCCGCCTGCCACTGCCACTCTCCCATTTCTCCAGATTGCTGCCCCCAAACTGATAAAGTCCTAAAGCTGGTGGTGACAGACATGGATGATGCAGTGTCCAAGGTGAGTGCCGATACCCCCCACCCCCACCCCACTCCAGCAGATGTTCAGGATGGCACCCCTGGCTCCCTGGGCCCCCCAGCGACTCCCCCCCCACCATTCATCTTTATGCCTGGACCTCACTGACCCCTTTCTCCCCACTTCAAACTGCTGAGTTCCTGGCCAACTGATGTTGGACCTCCAGTCACTTTGGTGGGATTAATTCTGGTCTCCCCACTCCGCACTCCCATCCTTGCAGGTGAAGACGTACCTGTCTGAGAACAGAAGCAGTGATGGGGTGTCACCTACCCCTGAGTCAAGCTTTGAAGGGACAGAACAGGATGGTCTTAGAGGAACCACAGCAAGCAGTACCTGCATTCCCTATGAGCAGCTGAGCACTCTGAGATTGACAGAGTCCCCGACCTCTGTTCCTGAAAGACCTACAAACCCAGCTGAGAGGATGGAGACACAGAGGGAACCGATTCATCGTGTCCAGGCAGCAGGGGCAACTTCCAGTTCATCAGCCCCAATTCGGCCGCCCCAAACTGCAGAAACCTCATCTTTCAGAAGGCCCAATTCCAGCCCCAACTCGGCCAGGAACCCAAGATTTGAATCCTCAGGGAATCAGGTGAGACCATGTCAGGACTAGGGGACACACCAGGATGTCTGTTATTCCTGTTCCCTTGGGAGTGAGGAGGTGTGCAGTGGGGTAACAGCTCAGGGACAGGGGACTGAGAGCTGTGTGTTATTTACAGGAGGCTGGGAAACAAAGCAGCCCCGAGCATGGCTGGGCACAGGCACCAGGTTCAGCACCAGGTACCCCATCCTCACTCTCCTCTTCCCACCTGCTCTTCCTCAAGACTATCTAAATCTGGGTACCTTGGGGAGAGGGGACAGAAGGATAAGAGGTCACCTACCCCTTCCTGTTTCGTGAATCTACCCCTTCCTGTTTCATGAAGAAACTGACAGACACCCATGCAACTGAATCATGCTGAGGTTACCTCGAAGCCCAGATTTGACCCCCGGGACTTCCCCAGCCCCAACTTTGTGAACCCTTAGATTCACCAGCTATTCTCTTGAACCAGAGGGCCTCCCAATAGAAAAGACCCAAATATCAGAGTTATGGAAATCAATGGCCAGTCCTCTTAAGTCTCAGCACTGGTTCTGAAGAGGCAGCCCCAAAGGGGACGGCTCAAGACCCATGTAGACCCAGTCACTGGGTCCCATGGACCTGACTTCTCATTTCCCAGAGTGAACCCACGCTGGTGCTGCCCTCTGCTCTCTCCTCTTGAGTTTCTGATGACTTAACTCATCCACCACCATTTCTCTTCAAGGCTATGTTGTCATACAAGGCTGCCAATCGGTGCAGTTTGGAAACAACAACCAAATGTACTCATCCCCAGGAGCCCTGGGTTCGTCCTCGCAGGCCAGGAGGCCCCCAGTCATCCATTGGAATCCTCGGTGGCCCCGTCCTCCCCGCCAGTAGCAGAATTTGGGGAATCTGCAGATGAGCTGTCTTCTGGTGCTAGTATAATAATATCACTGGAACTAACTGAAGCAGTGAGCCTTGGTGTGTGCACCGTAACTGACCTTGTATCGCCAAGAGTCAATAAACCGAAGAGAATTTTAACTGAGTCTGTGGCTGTATCATCTAGGGTCCAGGGCCCGTTGGGGGGACTAAAGAAACCTATAGCCAGGGAAGGACAGGGGTCTCGGTAGTCCCATGAAGGCAGAAAGCTGGACACTGACGGCTGAGGAGCCACAGTGGCCTGGCACACAGGGTCAGCGCCCAGCCGGAGGCAGGAAGGAATCTCAGCAACCAGACTCTAATCTCTGGGAGGAACACTTCCTCTGGACGCTCAGACCTAAACCCAGACCCTGTGAGACAGGCTAGGCCCCACTCACTGCCCTCCCCACTGACTTTTTCTTCTAGTCTTGGCGACTTGCAGCAGCGTCCTGGGAAGGGAATTCCGTGGGAACTTTTAGATACAGCCATCACACAGCACACCATATGCTCAGGTTTTCAGGGGTCAGGCCCCCTGCAGTCTCTTCCCTCCAGGACTCAGGCACACCCCCATCTCGTCCCAGCTGCAGAGCCCTTTGATTTCCAGCTGCTGTCCGGGAGAGGAACGTCATAGGCCCCACAAAGCGACATACACAAAAGCCTCCGCTAGACATGGTGGAAGCATCGACCCACTCAGTTGCTCAGCTCAGGAGAGGGGACAGAGAAACTCACCTCCCCCAATGCCCCACCTGCCCCCATCCTGAGATCCACCCCCACCTGGTGCCTGCTTCCCCACATTCTGGCCCGGCATCCCTCCAAGCCCGCCCCGCAGTCATCCCTCATCCAAGTATCCCACCCTCACCGGGACCCCGGAAACTCCCGGGGCTCACCCCAACTCCTGCGTCTCTCCCGTGCTCTGCATTCCGGGTTCTCGCGAGCTGCCCAGGGAAAGGGCAGTGGCGCGGGAAAGACAAGAGGAGGGCGGAGGCCGGAGGAGCAGCCGGACACGGGAAGGGGCCGGGCCGTCCCGTTGGGAAGTTGGAGGGGGCGCGGCGCCGGGAGGAAAGCGCCTGTCTCGCGGGGCGCGGGGCCACTGGCCGGGCTGCGAGCGTGACTCGGCACTGAGCCCCCCCGCGCCCTCCCACCCGGGCCGAGCCCACCAGCTTCTGTGAGTTTCGGGGGAGTTGGGACGGGGCGGACACCCCCCACCCTCGTCCCTGCAGGGGGGTCAGGGCCGCTTTGTTTCCACCGCAAACCGTGCCCACCCACCCAGGCGAGGAGACTTTGGCTAGGGCCCTTCTCGTCTGGGTTTGCGGGTGGAGGAGCCCCCGACTGGGGAGATCTCTTTACCGCGAACTGGGTGAGGGCTGGGGGGAGGAGTGGCGGGAGTGGGGGGCTTCCCGGAAGGAAACGGGGTCGCGGGGTGGCTGACGCTGGGGCTTGGGTGAGAGGGGCCCTGCGGGGCCGGAGCCCCGGAGGTAACCTGGCCCCGCATCCCGCGCCCCGCAGCCCCGGCGTCCGCGCGCCCCGCGGGAGAGCCGGGCTGGGCCGAGCATGGCGCGCCTGTTCAGCCCCCGGCCGCCCCCCAGCGAGGACCTCTTCTACGAGACCTACTACAGCCTGAGCCAGCAGTACCCGCTGGTGCTGCTGCTGCTGCTCATCGTGCTCGGCGCGCTGCTGGCGCTGCTGGCGGTCGCCTGGGCCACCGGCAGGGTGAGTCGGGAGCCCATCGAGGGCGAGGAGGGGAGGGGACGCGGGTGGGGGGCGCGCTGGAGCTTCCTAGGGTCGCGCTTTCTCTGCACACCGGCGGGGGACTTCCAGGGATCACGCTCCGGCGAGCAGACCTCGGTGGTACTTCCTGAGAGCCTCGGCGGGGCGTGCAGACTGGCTGGGTTTCCCAGGGTCGCACTTTCTCTGCAGACGGGCGGGGCTTCCTAGGGTCCTGCTAGTTCCTAGTGCAAAACTGTAGGGGTGTCTTAGGGTCGAACTGCGGAGTGCAAACCTGCCAGGCTTCTTAGGGTCACGCTGGGACGTGCAGACTGGAGGGGCTTCTTAGGGTCACTCTGGGGTGTGCCACGAGGCTTCCTAGGACTGAGCTTTCTCTGCCGGAGCCGGGAAACAATCGCGGGACCCTAGCCAGATCTCCAGGCGGTAGCGTCACCTCCCACACCACCACCTCTGGGTCCACATAAGGAAGAGAGCTGAGCCCTGGATGCTGCCAACTTCCCTCAGAACCGACAGTCCTCCTGAGCTTCTGTGGGCAGCTGGCCTTAGAATAAATCCTAGAGTGGATTTTCCACTTCTCCAGGCAGGGGTGTATTGGGTGCAGGGGTAGGGGGTGATATTACACTGGACCTTGTTGGAATTGGTTCCCGGATTTTCTTTCTCTGATAGAGCCTTCAGGTCAGTAGTGCCCACAACATTTCCTGAAACTACCCTCTTTCCCTCTCTTATCTAATCCCCAAATAAATCCGTTTCCAATTTCTTTGGGTGGGGAGGAGAGGGATGTCTGTCTTCTAGTCCATTCTGGAAGCAAACTGCTCCAACTTTTCTTTTTCCTCCTGGGAGACAAGGGAGGAGAATCGCAGACCACCAGCTGAAGTTCAGGAAGCCGTGGGAGCAAAGGGTGGAACAGCAAAAGGGTATCTATGCCCAGAGCTGGGTGGTAGGAGAGCAGTCCAGGGCCACTAGGAAGGTAGGGCACCCCCTGCTGCCTAGTACCTTTCATCTGTTCTGGACACAGAGTCTTTGCGGAACCAACTGGCCAGATTTGAACACACATGGTCTTTCTGTTCACTTTCCCCTGAAGATAGGAAGTAGGGTTTGTTGGTGGGCATGACTGAGCAGGGGGCAGTTCTGAAGCTTGCAAGATTCCAAGGCTCATATTTGTTCAAAGGCGCCATGATTAGGGATGTATCTGACCCCGCAGTCATCCAAAATGAGCTGCTTAACGACCCCCAAGTCGTCAGATTTATCCACTGCAGGGCTGGGGAGAGGACTCGGGTGCAGAATCCTCCATTTCCTGCTCTGCATGGTTCCCTGAGCACTGCTGGGAGCTACCTCAAGTGGCAAGCCAAGAACAGCCCCTGAGCACCTCTAGGTGCTTCAAAAAACAAAACCAAACAAAACAAACCAAAAATATTCATCCGGGCAGCTGGAGCGATAGTACCGCAGGTAGGCATTTGCTTTGCACGTGGCCGACCCGGATTCAATTCCCAGCATCCTATATGGTCCCCCAATCACTGCGGGGAGTAATTCCTGAGTGCATGAGCCAGGAGTAATCCCTGTGCATTGCTGGGGGTGACCCAAAAAGCCAAAAAAGATATTCATCCAGGCTCTGGGGCAGTAGCACAGGGGATAGAGCATTTGCCCTGCACACGCAGACCTGGGCTTGATCCCCAGCACCCCCATATGTCTCCCAAGACCCACCAGGAGTGATCCCTGAGCACAGAAGTAAGACCTGTGCACTGCCAGCTGTGGCCCAATCCCCCCTTTTGCTGAAGTGCCCTTTTTGGTGAAGTGGATCAGCAGGAGGCGAGGGAATCTGGATGCACCCATACGTAGAGCTCACCACATAATCCTTGTTCTGCAGGCTGGGGCACATGGGTGGCAGGGTAGACCCAAGGGTTTTCCAAAGGCTCCTCATCTACCTAGGGGCCCGTTTAGGGGCTTTAGGAGGTTAAAAATGGGACCAACTAGGGGCAGAGATAAATGCCATACTGCCAAGGACTGTCTCCAGGTCCCTCAGGGAAGCTTGCAAGAGCATCAGGCTGTGGACATTCCTCAGGTGGCTGCTGTGTGCAGCCAGTGCTCACTGGGCCTCAGGCGAAAGAACATAGTTGGAATCATTACATCCTTCTATGCATCCTATGAGGTAGGATTTTCTGGTTGCTTTGGCATGTTAGGCTAGCATTATGCCTTTTTTTCCATAGATAAGAAATCTAGGACTCATCAGAAAGATTGTGAGTTCACACAGGGCAAATACAGAAAGATTCACATACGGACTCATATACAGACGATGGGGTGATCACCAGGTATTTCAGGTAGGCGGGTCCAGGCTCAGGAGCCCTTGTGGCATGTTAGTGTGAAAAGTAGATTCAACCATGTGATACTGCAAGCTCTAGCGACAGAACTGGGATAGAGACGCTTTCAGACAGATTATCTCTTTTGAATGCCAAGTAGAGGTGCTCGCTTCCTTTTGATACTCGGGTTTGCAGCTTCAAAATTGGCTGAGGGGCTTCGGATTCTTCCTCTCTTTGGAAGGACCCCAGTTTCCAAAATTGTCTCCCATCCCCTCTATCCCCCACCTCTGCACAGGAGCTGATCTCAGACCCAGGCTTCCTGACCATTGTGCTGTGTGCTCTGGGCGGTTTCTCCCTGCTGCTGGGACTGGCTTCCCGGGAACAGTGGCTGCAGCGCTGGACACGACCCCTCTCAGGCTTCGTGTGGGTGGCACTGCTCGCCCTTGGTCATAGCTTCCTGTTCACTGGAGGCGTAGTGAGCGCCTGGGACCAGGTGAGAGGTGGACCAGGAAGATCAGCGGGAAGGGGGCCGTCGCCTGGAATCAGAACCCAGGTAGTGAGCAGTCTCCCATCCTCCCTTCTAGGTGTCCTTCTTCCTCTTTGTCATCTTCACTGTGTACGCTATGCTGCCCTTGGGTATGTGGGACGCAGTTGCTGCGGGCCTCACCTCATCACTCTCACACCTGCTGGCCCTTGGATTCTATCTTGGACCCCAACCGGACTCAAGGCCCGCACTGCTGCCACAGGTGACCACAGGAGGGTCAGGCTGCGCCTGATGGTTCTGCCGCATTTGTTGCTTTCCTTAGGCATTCATGGTGCATTTGCTGACCTGGGAGTTGGGAGTATGGCAAAGGCCTGCCTTGAGGAGTGGGTGCACTGTCTCCACACGGTGCTCACCAGAATGAGAAAAGAGAATGCAAAAAGAGAATGCAAAAGTTGAAGCTTAAAGACTTTGTGCTGGGGGTGGGGGAGAGACAAGAGTGCTGTGGGATTCTAGAAGAAGAAAAGGTGCAAAAGATTTCTCGGTCTTTTGGGTGGAGTTGTGGTTCAGCATTAGAGCGGGCCTTGCATGTGTGATATCCTGGGTTTAGTCTATAGCATCAGGAAGGGGAAAGAGACTTAGCCTGGCATGTCACTCAACTACTCAGGGGTAGAGCATTTGTCTTGCATGGGTGAGGTCCTGGATTCAATCCCCAGCACTGTAAAAAAAAAAAAAGGAAGATAGGAAGGAAGGAAAGGAGAGAGGGAGAAAGAGAGGGAGAGAAAGAGAGGGAGAAAGAAAGAAAGAAAGAAAGAAAGAAAGAAAGAAGAAAGAAAGAAAGATAGATAGACAGACAGAAAGGGGGGCCAGAATGATAGTACAGTAGGTAGGGCATTTGCCTTGCATGAAGTTGACCTGAGTTTGATCCCCAGCATCCCATATGGCCCCCCAAGCATCAGGAGTAATTCCTGAATGAAGAAGAGGAGTAACCCCTGAGCATCACCAGGTGTGACCCAAAAAGAAAAAAAAGGAAAGGAAGGAAGATAAGAAAGAAGGGAGGGAGGGAGGGAAGGAGGGAGGGAGGGAGAAAGGAAGGCGAAGAGAAGGAAGAAGGGTGGGAGGAAAAGAAAAAAAGAGGAAAAGAGAAAGAGGAAGGGAGGGAGGGAGAGAGGGAGGAAGGAAGAAAGAAAGGGTTGGTGGGAGGGAGAAGCAGGGAGGGAAAGAGAGAAAGAAAGAGAAAGTGGAAGAGAAAGAGAGAAGGAAAGAGAAAGAGAAAGGAAGGTAGAACTAAGAAAGAAAGCAAGGAAGGGAGGAAGGGAGGGGGAAGGAAGGACGGAGGGAGGAAGGAGGCTGGAGTGATAGTACAACAGTCTGGGTGCTTGCCTTGCGTGCAGCGGACCCAGGTTCTATCCTGGTCATCCCATATGGTCCTCGGAACACCTCCAGGAGTAATTCCTGAGTGCAGAGCCAGGAGTAACCCCTGAGCATTGGAGGATGTGGCCCAAAAACAAACCAAAAAAGGGAGTGGGGGAAAGAGGCAGGGAGGAAAAGAGAGAAGGTTGCGTTGGTACTGGAGCTGGGGGTGGGGGGCAGAGGGGGATGCGCGGTAGGGCTTGGGGGAGGGGCGTCATTAGGGGTGCACCTCCAGCAGCCGCCTGGAAGAACTTCGGCCTCTCACTGCAGCTGCGGTCCTGTAGTCTGTGCTGTAGTCCCTGCCAGGCCCCTCAGAGGGCAGCTCCCCCCGCGAGCATCGCGCTGAGGCCACCCTGTCCCGCAGCTGGCGGCTAACGCGGTGCTGTTCCTGTGCGGGAACGTGGCGGGGGCGTACCACAAGGCGCTGATGGAGCGCGCGCTGCGCGCCACCTTCCGGGAGGCGCTGACCTCGCTGCACTCGCGCCGCCGACTGGACACCGAGAAGAAGCACCAGGTGTGCGGGGGGGAGGGGCGGGCGGGCGCAGAGAGAGGGATGCGCATGACTTCGGGCGGCCCCTGAGCTTCTCTTTCCTTCGGGGCCCAACTGGGGCTGTCGTCAGCTCCAATCAAGGTTTGTGGAAGCACTTTAGGACGCGCTGATACTAAACCATGGGCTCTCAGTCCATCCGTAGTGCCGCGAATTCAGGTGCTCAGAGCAGGATGGGGTGCTGAGCCCAGCTGGGGGTGGGGTGGAGCTGGGAAGACCAGGGAACTCCTAGTGGGTCTGGGGGAGTGTGGGCGCCAAGGGTGTTCCGAGAGTAGGGGGTCCTGACTTTGGGGAGCAGGAGGGTTGGTGTTCATAGTACATTCTCCCAGGAACACCTTCTCTTGTCCATCCTTCCGGCCTACCTGGCCCGCGAGATGAAGGCAGAGATCATGGCCCGGCTGCAGGCTGGACAGGGCTCCCGACCAGAGAGTACCAACAACTTCCACAGCCTCTATGTCAAGAGACACCAGGGAGTGAGGTAGGGAGGAGGGTGACAGGAGGGAAGGGATGAGTTGGGGTGATGGTGGCCAGAGGAAGGGAGGCGCAGAATGCCTGCAGGACTGACCCCTTGCCCCACCCAGTGTGCTGTATGCAGACATCGTGGGCTTCACGCGACTGGCCAGTGAGTGCTCGCCAAAGGAGTTGGTGCTCATGCTCAACGAGCTCTTCGGCAAGTTTGACCAGATCGCCAAGGTCAGAGAGGCCTCCCGTCTCACCCCACTCCTCCCTCTACACCCCCTTCCACAGTCTCCCAGCCTCCTCAGAATCAAGCAGGGTCCAGAGGCCAGGAGGGTTACTGCGTGCCCCATGTGACCGAGGAGACCCTTCTCAGACATCCCCAGGGACAGGACTGCTCACCCTGTGCTCCAGAACTGGGAAAACCTCTCCACAAACCCCTCAGAGCTGGGGAGATCCTTCACAGGCACCATAAGAGCTGGGAAGACCCTTCCACAGACTCTCCAGAGCTAGGGAGACCCCCCCAGAACTAGGAGACCCTGCCACAGCCCCTCCCAAGCTGGGACCCTTCCACAGACCCCTCAGAGCAGGGAAACCCCTCCACAGAAACCTCAGAACTGGGGAGACCCCTCCACAGACCCCCCCAGAGCTGGGGAGATCCCTCCATAGACCCCCCAGAGCTGGGAAGGCCTCACCACAGACCACCCCCAGAGCAGGGAGACCCCTTCACAGAACCCTCAGAGCTAGCAAGAACCCTCCATAGAATCCTCAAAACTGAGGAGACCTCTCCACATCCCCAAACATCTCCCAGTCCCCCCAAGAAACACAAAGAGAGTTGACATAGGCATCTCTGGACACCGCCACTAAACTGCCAAGCTCCACACTCCATGGGAGCATTTTCAAATCTATGAATGACTTGTAGCAGTGCTCCCACGCTATCTCAGAGTCCAGGGACACCCCCAAGTAACCAGATCTTGCATCTCAGTCACCACCCCCATACACACACCAAAAAACCCCTCTCAGTCCTGAAGGCACTTTCATAGGGTCGAATCTGACTGGGGTGAGCCACACACAGGGATGCTCTGGGGATGACACTGTACAGACAGTGCCTGGACCTGACCTCCACATGCCCCCCCACCCCAGCTGGCCTTCAGCATCCACATCCTCACCCACTCGCTCCAGCCATCTCGTTCTCCCCACCCCAGGAGCACGAATGCATGCGGATCAAGATCCTGGGAGACTGTTACTACTGCGTCTCGGGCCTACCACTTTCGCTGCCAGACCACGCCATCAACTGCGTGCGCATGGGGCTGGACATGTGTCGGGCCATCAGGTCAGCTTGGGCAGCTGGCCCATGGTACAGCCAGTGATGGCTGTAGGGCACAGGCTGGCTGGGTAGTGGAAACTTGGCAGAGGAAGAGGTGTGGCTTGGGTAGGGCAGAGGGAGCCACTTGAACTGCTCCCCACACTCCGTGTGCAGGAAGCTGCGGGCAGCCACGGGTGTGGATATCAACATGCGTGTGGGCGTGCACTCTGGCAGTGTGCTCTGCGGAGTCATTGGGCTGCAGAAGTGGCAGTATGACGTGTGGTCCCATGATGTCACGCTGGCCAACCACATGGAGGCGGGCGGCGTGCCAGGGTAAGTCCTGGAGCTCCTGGGCTGGAGTGATAGCACAGTGGGTAGGGTATTTGCCTTGCACGCAGCTGACCTGGGTTCGATTCCCAGTATCCCATATGATCCCCTGAGCACTGCCAGGACTAATTCCTGAGTGCAAAGTCAGGAGTAACCCCTGTGCATCGCCAGGTGTGACCCAAAAAGTAAAAAAAAAAAAAGTCCTAGAGCTCCTGGAAACAGTAGGAAGAGGTCACTGGGGCCTTCCACATGATGCCACTCATCTCCTGTTCCTTACTAGAATAGGCACAACCCCAGGGCACAGAGAGGGCTCAAAGGGTTTGAGCACAGGTTATGCATGTGGGAGCACCCCTCCCCCATCCAGGAGCTGGCAATGCATAGTCCCTGAAGCACCACCAGGAAACACCCAAGCTTGAGCCAGAAGTAGTCCTGGAGAACTGCCGATGCCCACCACCAAAAAATAAAAAATGTTGCAAACAGATCAGGGAGGCACAGAGGAGCAGGGAGAGAGAGCTGAAGCTGAGAGAGACAATCCAGAACAGTCAAGACCTGGTCTCGGTCCTTGGGGAATAAGAGGTCTAAATGCATCCTCCTGACTCCGGCCATTCCTCCCTCCAGGCGGGTGCACATCACAGGGGCTACCCTGGCCCTGCTGGCAGGTGCTTATGCAGTGGAGGCTGCAGCTATGGAACACCGGGACCCTTACCTTCGGGATCTGGGGGAGCCTACCTACCTGGTCATCGATCCCCGGGTAAAAGAAGAGCAGGGACCCCTACCCAGAGCATCTCTGGCCAACAACCCTAGTCTCTCCTACTCAGCCAGAGACTGAGTTCCCGAGTCCCAGTGCACTTGCTGCGGGAGGCAGGGGGGTCAGGAAGCCCCTAAGGGTGTGGGGAGAAGAGGCAGGTCTGTGATCTTGACACCCAGCTCTGCCCCAGGCTGAGGAGGATGAAAAGGGCACCGCTGGAGGCTTGCTGTCTTCTCTTGAGGGCCCCAAAATGCGTCCTTCCCTGCTGATGACCCGCTACCTGGAGTCCTGGGGTGCAGCCAAGCCTTTTGCTCACCTGAGCCATGTGGATAGCCCCGTGTCCACCTCCACCCCGCTCCCGGTATGTGCTCTTCCAACAAGGGCCCCGTGAAAGGGCTGAGACCACCACCCTCCAAGCAGGCTTAGGAGAAGATCCAAAAACCCAGGATCACAGTCCCTTAGTCTTCACTCAGGAAGCTTTCCAGGGACCCCAAGGCATGGAGCAAACTTCTCCTTGACTCTACCTGGGCTACACACCCACCTCCAGCAGGAATTGTCTGTTTAACTCAGTTCCTTCACTGTACCTTCTCTTCCTCAACCCTCATTCGGACTAGGGCAGTAACAGACCGGGTGTCCTGCTCTGGCATGGGTACATGGAGAGAGTGAGGTGACAGTGAAATGCTCACATGGCCTTCAAGAAGGAAGTCTCCCTGAGCAGGCAGAGGGAGTGTGACTGAGTGGAGTGTGTGTGCATGAACATGTGTGAGAGGGAGCGAGTGTGAGAGTGTGTGTGCAGGTGAGTATGCACGAGCAATATGAGTGTGACTGAGTGTGAGTGTGAGAGTGTGTGCTCATGAGCATGTATGAGTGTGACTGTGTGTGAACATGTGTGAGAGTGTGCATGTGAAAGTACGTGAACATGTATGAGAGTGTATGTGCATGAGCATGTGTGAGTGTGACTGTGAGTGTGAGAGTGTGTGCATGAGCATGTTTGAGTGTGACTGAATGTGAATGAGTGTGAATGTGTATGAGTGTGAGAGTGTGTATGTGTGCATAAGAGTAAGTGTGAGTGTACATGAGCGTATGTTACTGTGTATGAACATGTGTGAGAGTGAGCGAGATGAGTGTATGCATGTGAGTGTGCATGAGCATGTATGAGTGTGACTGAGTGTGAGTGTGCATGTGAGTGTACTTGAGCATGTGTGAGTGTGACTGTGAGCATGTGTGAGAGTGAGCGAGAGTGAGAGTGTGTGCATGAGTGTGTGAGTGAGCCAGTATATGAGTGAGTGTGTGTTAGTGTGTGCGTATGAGTGAGTGGTGTGTGTGTGTATGTGTGTGCACATGTAGGGGGAGGTAGACAGAGGGAAGGGGTGCACCTTCCCCTCCCGTCAGGACAGTGTTCAAGCCCTTGGTTCTGGCTTTGAAACTGCTGATCCCCTGCAGTGGATTAAAACTACTGGAATTCAGGTCAGTGCAGGCAGGAGCTGGTCTACAGGTGGAAAAGGGTTAAAACCAAGCCACTGTTTTTTTGTTTTGTTCTTTGCTTTTTGGGTCACATCCGGCAATGCACAGGAGTTACTCCTGGTTCATGCACTCAGGAATTACTCCTAGCGGTGCCATATGGGATGCTGGGGATCAAACCTGGGTCAGCTGCATGCAAGGCAAACGCCCTACCCGCTGTGCTATTGCTCCAGCCCCAAAGCCACTGGTTTTAACCATGGGCCAGACCCATTCCTTGCTGATTCTTTTGGAAAGCACCCACCAGCTGCTGGGGGAGCCTGGATCTCCCCTATAGACTGGTTCTTGGGGGGTTAGTTTTTGTCCAATGACCAGAACATCCTCATGCAGGACCCTGGTCACACCCCGAAGTTGAGATGTCCCAGGTTGAAAATTCCTCAGTCTAGTTTCCCTTTTATCTGATTTTCCCAAGAGCTGGTCAGCGGCTATAAGCTTCTTTCTGCAGAGCTTCCCCAAATCTAGTGGCTACAGCTGGGACTTTTGAAATGACTCAACTCCCTCTCCGTGTTCCATCACCAAAAAAGCAGAAATCAGGAGTGCTGGGGACTTGGAAGCCATTGGCAGAAGGGGTTCAGGGAATCATGAACCCCCTTTAAAGCCTCTACATGGGGTGGGGAAGGGTCTAAAGTGCCAGGCTGAAGACCTGGGAGATAGTTGCATGTCGGGATCACAGTGGGGGATGGTGGGTAGCCAGTGGGGGTTGCTGGGAGCCTAGAGGCAGGACAACGTTGGGTACAGTCTGCATGGTGGAGACGCTCCCCATTCCGTGCCAGACCTCCTTGACCCCCCACTGCTGGTGTGCAGGCTACATGTGTCCAGGAGGAGGTGTGGGAACCCCATGCTCAAGGACAGTTCTTGAGAATTTCTCTCCAGCCCAGAAATTCATCTCTCATCCCTAGCTCCAGGAGGTGTAGCCAGATGTTAGAAAGCCTGAGAATCACAATCAGCTTAGTCACAAAGATTGTAGAACTTCAGGGGTTCAGAGGCGGTATTTGTGCTGGTTTCTACTTCACCTCCCACCCACCCATTCTTCTTTTCCTCCTTCCATGATTTTGAGCACCTACCGTGTGGCAGGCGCTGAACTGGTTCCTGAGGAGATAAAGATGAATAAGAGTTTTCCTTGCTTTCACGTAGGCTATAGGCACTGGGGGCATGTAGGTGATTTGGAGAGGGGAGCAAAATTGAAGGCGTAGCTTCAGAGACGTGCTCACCCCTAGAGCAGTGACTTTTAATTACCGATCCACAGACCAGTGCCAATTCAACAGGAATTTTCTGACCTCTGTGAGCCAGTTGTTGTTGCCTGCTTGACATTGCTTTCCTGCGAGTACCTAAGGTTGGAAACCACAGACCTAGGGCTGTCGTCTTCCTCTACCCCACTCTGCACATGCATAGGGTTTCAGTTGAGGGGATGTTGCAGCCCCTGTGACCCGCTGCCTTCAGATGAGCCAAGAAGCAGAAGTCCCCACACTCTCCTCTGCCCCAGCCCAGCCTCAGCCCCTGCCCCTTTCCTGGCCTCTGAACCCTTGCTGCACCCCCTCTTTCTACACCAGTGCTGCACCCCTCTTTCTGCATAAGAGAATCATTGTAGCCATGGGTTTCTCTTCCTCTTTTGCTTTCCTCGTCATGGTTTGCTTCCTGCCTCTCATCAGCCCACTTCTCACCCCAGGTCACTCAGAGAATCAGAATGTTGGGTCTTGTCACTTCCACTTTATTTTTTGTTTGGGGGGGGGGTTAGGGGGTGACACAGCAGGCAGTGCTCAGGAATGACTCCTGGCTTTTGTGCCCAGGGATCATGCCTGGTGAGGCTCAGGAGACCATACGGGGTGCCAAGTACTAAACCTGGGTTTAGCATGTAAGGCAAGTGCCCTACCAGCTGTACCTTTGTTACTTCAACTTCAACCCACCAGGATTGTTGGCTCCCTGGGTATGTAGCAAGTGCACACAGAGCCCATGCGAGGTACAGATTGCCTTATGAATGACCATGTAGGAAGAAGATAAAAGAACTAGAAGTGACCTCCTCCTCCCCCCCCCACGCCCTTCAGGGCACTGGAGGTTCAATGCAGAGACTCGTCACTAGAAGCAGGGGAAACAGGAAGGCCAAGGTCAAGGCAGCTAGGCAAGGCCTCATGGCCCCATTTCCCCTCCCTTGCTCTCCCTGCAGGAGAAGGCTCTGGCTTCCTTCAGCCCCCAGTGGAGCCTGGACCGGTGAGGAGGGAGGCCCTGGCAGCTTTGACTTGGGGTCCATCTGTGAGATGCCCACCATGCTCCCCCAGGGGATGGCGTGTGTGGAGGGGGGCTCCTGCTTGGTCCAGATGTTTATCAGGGTGTGTGGTGACAGTCAGGCACTTCCTGTGCAGGAGCCGCACCCCCCGAGGACTTGATGATGAACTGGACACAGGGGATGCCAAGTTCTTCCAGGTCATCGAACAGCTCAATTCACAAAAGTATGGAGACAGGGGCAGGGCTGGGGAGGCCGCAGATACCCAGGGTCCTGGAGGGAAGTGGGGGGCTTCTCATCTCCTCCAGGAAAGATTCATCTGACTGCCCCCTCTGCCCTGCCTCTCCTCTGCTGGGGCTCACTGCCTTGCCTGCCCCCACCCCCACCAGCCAGTGGAAGCAGTCGAAGGACTTCAGCCCACTGACACTGTTCTTCCGAGAAGAGAAGATGGAAAAAGAGGTACACTGGGGAAGCGGGAATAGAGGACTCCCCAACTTCCGTTTCCTGGCTCTAGGGAAGGGGCAGTAGAGGTCTACTGAGTTTGTGACTGGGCCTCTCTCTGGAAGTGAGTGTCTTCAGGCTGGATACTGGGGAGTCGGGGGACGGGGGACTCCTTGGGAGCTGCTATTGAATTCTGGCACTGAGCTGGAGGTCGGTGGGGGCAACTGGGGTGGACCCTTTCACGGTGAGGGGCAGATGAGCAGTGGGCCCCCAATTTTACCCCTGTACTGGTTCTCCAGTATCGGCTCTCCACACTCCCCGCCTTCAAGTACTACGCAGCCTGCACCTTCCTGGTCTTCCTCTCCAACTTCATCATTCAGATGCTGGTGACCAACAGGTGAGACCATGGACAGGGTGGCCCCCCAAGCCTCGCACCACTGATTCTTCCAGAGACTGGATCTGATACACCCTTGTCCCCTTCCCTGTACCCTGTGATCCTGACCCCCCAAGGAAACACTCCTTCTGGGCTATCAGGGACCATCATGGTCCTCATCTTACTGGCAAGCCTGCCTCAGTTTTCCCTGTGCCTCCCCAGGCCTGACTCCAGCACCCAACATTCCCATTGGGGTTGTGGGTGAGGGTCTCCCTGCAGGAAAAAACAACAACAACAACAACACAATAATTGAACGTAGGAGGGAGCTATTCACTTTCCCACGCAGCTGGACTCAAAGCTCAACCAGGAAGGAAGGGACTGTCATGGGCAGACATGGCCACCAGTTTGGCCCCAATGCCTCCCTCAACCTGCCTGGCCCCAGAGAACTTACAGCATCTCATTATCTCCACTTTGCATCCACCTCGACCCATCAGCAGCCTTTTCACTTCCACAGGAACACAGCCCCCCATGTCTCCCGACAGGAGATGGGTGGGGGGCATGCTTCAAGCCCTCCTCAGCCCCTCACCTTCTCCCTCTTCTGTCCCACAGGCCCCCAGCTCTGACCATCACCTACAGTGTCACCTTCCTCCTCTTCCTCCTCCTCCTCTTCGTTTGCTTCTCAGAGCACCTGACGGTGAGGTGGGTCGGGGGCAGCAGGACCAGCTGGGCCCTTAGCCCAACTGAGCTGCTCTGGGCACCACTGCCCGCTGGCTGAGTTGCCACCCTCCCTCCACAGAGGTGCGTCTTGAAAGGTCCCAAGATGCTGCATTGGCTGCCCGCCCTCTCTGGCCTGGTGGCCACCAGGCCCGGACTGCGAGTCGCCCTGGGCACGGCCACCATCCTCCTGGTCTTCACCATGGCCATCATCATCCTGGTAAGGACAGGGGGGACCCAGACCTTCCGTCAGAGCTACCGGGGACCTCTTGATTTGCAAAGCCAGCTGTACTAATCAGGGGTGGGATGGAGACATGGAGACGGAGGCAAGCATGAAAGAACAGAGATGGCACTCATTGCCACCAACCGGGCTGGGACTGTTGTGACCAGCACCCTGGGGACATCTTTGTTCCTTTCCAGGAGGTCGGAGCTTCACTATTGAGCACCCTCTCGGTGCCTTTTGTAGTTGAGGCTCAGCTGGGATCTTCAGAACTCAGAACCAGTCCTTGAAATCTATCCCTGAAGACACCTTAGCAATCCCATGTGGCAGATGAGGCCCAGGAAGACTGAGCTACTGGCGGGAAACCCCTGATGGGGCCCAGGAGATAGAACCGGGGACTGGAGCTATAGTACAGTGGGTAGGGCGTTTGCTTTGCACATGACCGACCCAGGATCGATTCCCAGTATCCCATATTGTCCCCCAAGCACTGCCAGGAGTAATTCCTGAGTGAATGAACCAGAAGTAATCCCTGAACATCGCCGGGTGTGACCCAAAAAGACAGAGAACCGTATCAGGGTGACTGCCTTGTACATGCTATCTAGCTTCACTCCCTGGCATCACATACACCCCTGCCCTCACCACCCTAAACATCGCTGGGTGCAGCCCTGGAGGCCCCCAGCACCACTCGGGTAATCCAGGTATCCCCCAGAACTGCAGGGTTCAAGCATCATCGCATCCTAGGGCCCTTGTGTTGACTGGATAAGTTGGCCAAGAATCACCAGTGGGCCCTGAACACTGGAAGACACCCCCAGAAAGAAATCATTCCCCAAATCTACGGACGTTTAGTGCTTATGGCAGCCCCACTTCCTCCAGCTCTGACATTGCTCCCAGTGCTAAGGCTCTCCAACCGGAAATCAGTCTCCAGCTCTGGGGGAAGTCTGGCTGGGCCTCCTGATGGTGAGGTCCTCAGCTTGGGGCGCCCCTAGCACTCCCCTCATCCCTCACTTCCTTCTGCAGTTCTTCTTACCGGCAACCGCTAGCTGTCCTTTCCACACTCACAACATATCCTCGGTGACCGCCAACCTCTCCTGGGAGCTCCCCGGCTCCTTGCCTCTCATCAGCATCCCGGTGAGTGGACCCACAGCCCAGTTGTCCCCTCCAGATCCCCTCACCCTATCCTTGTCCTGGGGGGCGTGACACCACTACCCCTTCAGTGCGTGCCTGTATGTTCTTGTGCATGTGTATCTGTGTGTGTGTCCGCTCTTCGGAGTGGCCTGGGCCCTGGCGGGGTGCAGGGAGAACATCGGCTGCCGCTAACACCCCGGCCACCCACAGTACTCCATGCACTGCTGCGTGCTGGCTTTCTTCTCCTGCTCCGTCTACCTGCACATGAGCTTCGAGCTGAAGCTGCTGCTGCTGCTGCTCGGGCTGGCAGCCTCCTGCTCCTTCTTCCTGCACTCCCACGCCTGGCTGTCCGACTGCCTCATCGCCCGCCTCTATCTGGGCCCCTCCAGGTACATGTGGCCACTGGACAGAGGCACCAGGTCCTGTGGGAGGCCTATGGGGGGAGCTTCCTGAAACACCACCAGGGTGGCAGGGGAGGGAGGCAAGGGGCTGCCTGATGTGGGGAGCAGGGAGAAGGGCACCAGGAAGGGGCAGCCCTGATCCTTGGTCCTCTCAGGCCAGGCGTACTGAAGGAACCCAAACTGATGGGCGCTATCTCCTTCTTCATCTTCTTCTTCACCCTCCTGTTCCTGGCCCGCCAGGTAAGTCACTGCGTTCAGTCCTCCGGGGCCCTCCTAGGACAGGTGAGGCTGGAAAAGTGGCCATATGACTTGGCCTTTCTTCCCCTTTGCCTGACTCTTAACATCTCCCAAGTTGAGCCCAAATGGTGTATGCACTGGAAGTTTCTAAATCACCCTGCCTGCTCCCTTTCTTTTCCTTCATTTCACTCATCTGAGGGTGTGCCTGCCTCTCTCCCTTCCCTTCCTTCCCCCAACAAGGAAAAGTATGCTTAAGGGGAAAAAAAGATATATATATATATATATATATATATATATATATATATATATATAGTGGGCTGGAGTGATAGCACAACGGGTAGGGCATTTGCTTTGCAAGCGGCCAATGTGACCGACCCGAGTTCGATTCCTCTGCCCCTCTTGGAGAGCCCGGCAAGCTACTGAGAGTATCTTGCACAGCAAAGCCTGGCAAGCTACCTATGACATATTCGATATGCCAAACACAGTAATAATTGTCACAATGGAGACATTACTTGGTCCACTTGAGCAAATCGATGAACAACAGGACAGTGACAGTGATACACCACACACACACACACACACACACACACACACACACACACATATAATGGAGGAACCAGAGAAATAGTACAACAGGTAGAGTTCTTGCCAGGGTTCGATTCTTGGCATCCCATATGAGACCATCAGGGTGATTCCTGAGTTCAGAGCCAGGGCTTAACCCTGAGCATTGCCCCAAAACCAAAAATACATACATAAAAATTTGGAGTGGAGCCTGAAATAGTAGTACAGCAGGTAGAGCACTAACCCCACATGTAGCCAACCTGGATTCAATCCCCAGCATTCTATATGGTCCCCTGAACCCCCCCAGGAATACTCCCTGAGCACAGAGCCAAGAGTAAGCCCTGAGCACTGTTGGGTGTGCCCAAACCCTTCAAAAAAAAAGAGAGCCTCTACCCCCACCCCTAATCCTCTGATTCCAAAGGTAGTCCCCATCTCTAAGGATCTTCTCTCGAAAGCGGGGTGAGTAGAGGGCCTCAGGGAGTGGGCATGAATGCTCAGGAGCCGGGACTTTCCCTGCACTGTGTCTCCCCATATTGTGCCCGGACGGCCCCCCAGAATGAGTATTACTGCCGCCTGGACTTCCTGTGGAAGAAAAAGCTGCGGCAGGAGCGGGAGGAGACTGAGACAATGGAGAACCTGACTCGGCTGCTTTTGGAGAATGTGCTCCCGGCACACGTGGCCCCCCAGTTCATCGGCCAGAACCGGCGCAACGAGGTGACTTCCCTCCCTGACATAGGAGACCTAAAAACCCTAGAAATCATTTCCCAGGAAATTCTTGGCTCTGGGCTTGTGCTCTCTGGAGATCCCCCATGGAGATTTGGGGAGGAGGGTACAGCCACACTGTATCTGTCAGGTGCCGCCCTCCATCGATCCCAGATCTTAGGTTCCATCTTTGGGGAGCACAGAGAATCTGCCTCCTGAGTTCTCACTCTGAAGGAGTGTTGTGTCCAGTGCCTGACTCCTCAGTTCTGAAGCTTCATGGTGTGTCGGTGGGATTTGAGTGAAGGTTGTACATCACCCAGCTTCCGGGACGTGTGCTATCCAGAGCATAACCAATAGGCAGATGGAGATGTTTGAATCTGCGTCCAGTTCCTCACTCTCAAGGGGCACATTTAAAGTGTTCAGTGGCTGTTGGGGGCTGGCAGCGACCGACCAGATGGCACAGAAATGGAATTCCCAACAGAACAGAAAGTTCCAATGGGCCATGCTGCCCTAGAGACTCCAGGACCTTGCCAGTCTCTGCCCATGAGGTTGCCCTTCATTTGCACTGTGGGTGCCTTATTTGATTCACACTATCTTGTTGAATTTGTCCATTCTCCTTCCCTCTCCCCTTTTTCCTGTTGTCGTTTGCTGCAAAGACCGGGGTGGGCTGTGGTGCTCACTCAGGGTCTCACACTTGAGTTGTGATGCTCACACACCTGGCTGGCCACAGTGCTCCATTGACTGCATGCCATGTTGCAGGGTGCCCAGGACCCAAACTGCAGAGCTGCAGGACCATACTTGGTAACTGTGGGTGGCACTGGACATGGAATGTCTGATCTCATGCTTACATGGCAGATACATCTGCCACTTGAGCCATACCTGGGTTCCCTGTTCTCTCTTCTTTTTCCCATCATGTCACCTTCTATGCAACAGAAGCACTCTTGGCCTGAGTGGGGTGGGGGGTATTAGAGAAACTATTGGGGTGGCGGAGTTATTTCATAGTCTCAGGATCCCATTATCTGCTCTCTGCTCTCAAAATCAAAGCAGAAACTCATAGTCTTCCTGTAGGCACTGGGTCTCTTGTAGCTGCTTCTGTTTCTGTCCTTAACTTAGCTCCTAGAGAGTGGCCTCAGTGCCATCAGTGGGCCTTAAAGCAGGGAATCAGAGAGATAGTAGAGTGGGTAGGGTGCTTGCCTTGCACATGGCTAACTCAGGCCCAATCTCTGGCACCCACTGGTCTCCTGAGACCAGCCAACAATAACCCTTGAGCACAGAGTCAGGAGAAAGTCCTGAGCACCACTGAGTGTGTCCCCCAAACAAAAAACAGACCGAAAAAAATAGGACTTTAAAGCACTCATTGGGTGACAGTCTCATCTGGTCACATCTTTACCACCTTACCCTCACTTCTCCTTTGCCACACTCTCCATATTGTTTATTTTTACTTTTCTCTTGCAGATATGCAACTGATTGTCTTTGTCTGGGATCCCAGTTTTAGAAGTGGTTCCCGGGGTTTTGTTCTGAGAGGAGCCTGACCTCAATCTTCTGTGCTCTCAGAATCACACTGGGGCCCCATCTGGGATGCCTGAGTCAGTGGGACTTCCTCTGTCCCAGTCCTTAACAGGAGAGGGGTGGCCCCAGGCAGATCCCGAGGGGGACAAACACTCATTTCACCCACCCACCCCTGCCCTTGCCCAGGACCTCTACCACCAGTCCTACGAGTGCGTCTGTGTGCTCTTCGCCTCAGTCCCTGACTTTAAGGAGTTCTACTCTGAATCCAACATCAACCATGAGGGGCTCGAGTGTCTGCGGCTGCTCAATGAGATCATTGCTGATTTCGATGAGGTGACCACCCCCCCACAACTCCCCCAGATCTCAGAATTTCCCACCAGTCCCTTCTTTTGCTTCGCTCTCTCCACCCGCAAACCCCATCCCTCCTCTGCTCCACGGATTGCCCAGGTCTGCCCTCTCCGGCAACTTTCCACCCTCCCAACCTGTCCCTCCTGCTTCCCGAGCCTACACCATGGCCCTTTAGCCTCCAGTGGCCTGGGACTGGGTTCCAGGGTGAGAGTGAGAGGGACGGGGACAGAGTCTTCTCTCTGTCCAGCTACTCTCCAAGCCCAAGTTCAGTGGTGTGGAGAAGATCAAAACCATTGGCAGCACCTACATGGCAGCTACAGGCTTAAATGCCACCTCGGGGCAGGACGCCCAGCAGGTAGTACCCCCCTTCCTTGCAGACCAAGCCTCTCCCAGCTCCCCTGGGGGCACTGTCAGTGGGGGATCTTCCCAGGTCCTCATTGACCTGGCCTGCTGGCCGGTCCTTTGTCAGGATGCTGAGCGCAGCTGTAGCCACCTGGGCACCATGGTGGAATTCGCGATGGCCCTGGGGGCTAAGCTGGAGGTTATCAACAAGCATTCCTTCAACAACTTCCATCTGCGTGTGGGTAAGGACCTTCCCTTTTGGGCTCACGCCCACCCCCACCCCCGCTAAGTGCCCCCTCTTCAGAACCTATGTAAGCCACCGGGGTCACCCCGGCCCCTCTGCAGACTCCCCCTTCCAGCAGAGCAAAAAAGCTGCTGGGCCTCACCCCATCCCTTTCCTAAGCCATATCCTCCTTTTCTCTCCCTAGGTTTCTTCTCTCTGTTTCATTCCACTTCCTCTTTCCCTCCTACTGCTCCCCAAACCCCATCAGGTCCTCTCTTGGTCATCCCATTTGGGGGTCGGGGGGTGGTTTGGGAGATCATCCCATGAAGTGCTCAGGGACTATTCCTGGCTTTTTGCTCAGGGCTCACTCCTGGGGGGTGCTCTGGGGACCACAAGGTGCCAGAGGTGGAACCAGGGTTGGCCTCCTGCAAGGCAAGCGCCTTCTCTCCCCCTGGGCTCTCTCTCCCACAGCCCTTAACCACGCCTTTCCTCAGGGCTGAATCATGGACCTGTAGTGGCCGGAGTGATTGGAGCCCAGAAGCCACAATATGACATCTGGGGCAACACAGTGAACGTGGCCAGCCGCATGGAGAGTACAGGAGTGTTGGGCAAGATCCAAGTGAGGGGGGGGACACGGTGGAGGGAACTGTTGGGGGAAGCAGGAAGGGGCCCTGCGCTCACTCTCTTACCTTCCTCCAATCGCAGGTGACTGAAGAGACAGCTGAGGCGCTGCAGTCCTTAGGCTACACCTGCTACAGCCGGGGTGTCATCAAGGTCAAGGGCAAGGGACAGCTCTGCACCTACTTCCTAAACACAGACTTCACTCGAGCTGGTCCTCCCTCGGCCACCCTGGGCTGAGACACCGCCTGCCTGTGCTCTGCCTCTCAGAGCTTCACCAAAGAGATGAGTATGACCACAGCCGGATGAAGTCAGGGGCTGCTGGGAGAGCTGGGGGTTCCCTTCTCCCTGCACCCCCACAGGACAGCATCTCCTCGGGCCAAACAGAGAGAGTGTGTGAAATCCTGGGCCTGAACACGTGGGAGAGGAATGAATCTTTGTCACTAGCGAGGAAGAGGGTGGCTGCCACTTCCCGGTTTGCTCGCCAGCCCCATTCTGATCACATGTACACCTGGGAAGCATAAAGGGTTTTAGCGACATGACTCAAAACTCAGGACTTGTCCTTTCCTGCTCCCCACCCACAGATACTGGAAGGCACCGCCAAGGAAGTGCCGTTTACCTTTATTCATTCTACAGATGCTGAGTAAGCACTGAGCATGTGCTGACGAGGCAGCCTGGGTGATAGGCCCAGGAACTTAGCTTATATCCCGGCCTGTTGAGCTGCAGTGGCCAAATGGACCCAGGCTTCGCAGGAACAACATGTGAACAATGGGGGGGGGGGGGGTTCCCCTGCCCCCAGGTCCCTCAGATGCCCCCGTGCTTGCTTCTGCAACTGTCCCATACATGCATGTGGGTCTTGCCGCATCTGTGGTTTATGCTCACCTGCTCATCTTTTGAGGTCCGTGGGAAAGGTCTAGGTGGGCTGCAGAGAGAGCGTGTGGACTTTTGGGTTTTTCTCTCTGCTCTCTGCATTGCTCTGACTGTGACGAAGTGAAATGCTGCTGAAATGTTGACCCAGAGTCACCCCCAGGGTCTCCCACAGTGATCTCCAAGGATAGAATGTCTCATCCTTTGTACTCTAGGGAATTCTTTTTATTTTGGTTTGTTTGGGGCTTGTTTTGTTTTTAGGTCACACCTGGAGATGCACAGGGGTTCTTCCTGGCTCTACACTCAGGAATTACTCCTGGCTCTGCACTTGGGAATTACTCCTGGCAGTGCTGGGGAGAACATATGGGATGCCGAGATGGAACTTGGGTCAGTACGTGCAAGGCAAGTGCCTTACCCCCGTGCTACCCCTCCAGCCCCCCTGGAGAATTCTTGCTCCTGAGGGTGCTCGTGCATACAGAGAAACCTCAGCCCCACCCTGAGCCAGAGTATAGTTGGGGGGGAGGTGGGGAGGGCCAGTGAAAGGTTGATATGCAGACATGGAGGGGATAAGATCTGAGGTCTGGGAGCTGGCAGGCAGGGAGGGGCTTGGCCATGGGCACAGAGCATCTCCTGCTGAGAGGGGAGATTGCTGGCAGGAAGTCAAGCTAAGTGATGCTATCGCAGGCCTGGAAGGCCCTGCTGCCACCGGTGTCCCCATGGGCCCACTGCATTGCTCCGTACCTCGGCACCTCGGGAGTGCTTCAAAGTGTAACTTGTACCCCACAGAAAGGTGTGGAGAGGTGCTCATATGACTGTTTTATTTTTATTTTAATAGTCTTATTATTTTTGGTTTGGGGGGCACACCTGGCAGTGGGCTGCTGAGGGGCTGCTCCCCACTCTACACGCACAGGTGTTTTCCGGGGGTGCTCAGGGGGGCCATACGGTGGCAGGAAATCAAATCTGGGCCTCCGGCCTTCAAAGCACAGACTCCTCCTGCACATTACACTCTCTCTTGGGCCCTCGGTCTGGTTCTGGGTTTTGGGGTTTTTGTTTGTTTGGGTTTTTTTTGGTGTTGGGGGGTGGGGATTTGCTTTGGGCTTTGTTTTTGATTGGTTGGCTGGTATTGGTTTGTGAGCCACACCCGGTGGTGTTCAAGAATTAGTCCTGGCTCTGTTCTCAGGGATGACGCCTGTTGGGGCTCAGGGGGTCCTATGGAGTGCTGGGAGCCAAACCCAGGTCAGCGGTGTGCAAGGCAAGAGTCAGCCTCGCTGGCTCTTTCCAGCTCCCCCTAGGTCTGATTTTAATGCCTCTCCCAAAACTGAACAGCACAGGGATGGGAAGGATGCCTCTCAATCTTTGAGCAGGACCCCCAGAGGACTCCCATTCCCCCCCCCCCCAATCCCACATAACACACTCCTGGCTCTCAGAGTCGCCCCGATTTCAGACGTGGTTTTAATAGAGCTGTACACTCAACTGGGCCCTGGCTCCGCCATGCCCCTCCCTCTCCTTGCTCCCCGTTACACCCTCCCCACACCATCCTGGTCCTCTCCTGGGGCACAGAAGTGGGTCAGGCCCCCGCAAGGGCCCCCCACACGCCCCCAGCTGATGTGTCCTCCATCCTTCCGCCGCATCCCCGGGTCCTGGCTCTGCGCGCCTCACTCCGGAGGGTCGTCGGGGGTCACCGTGAGGCTCTCGGTGGGACCCGGCTCGGCCGCGACAGGGGCGCCCCGCACCGTCTGGCCGCCCAGGGTGCCGACGCGGCGGGTGCTGGACATCTCAGAGCCGGTGCCCTCCAGCAGTTTGGCCACGAAGCCCACGCCGGCCGAGCGCAGCAGGCCCCCGCCCGCGCACGCGTACAGCACCGGGTTGACGCTGCTGCTCAGGAAGGCCAGCGCGATGAGCACGTGGCGGGCCAGGGACAGGCGCCGGCCTGTGGGGTCCGAGGCCATCAGGGGCCAGCCGGCCAGCGCGCGGCTCGCCTCGGCCAAGTTCACCACGTGGTAGGGCAGCCAGAAGGCGGCGAAGGCCAAGATGATGAGCACCACCAGGCGCCCGGTGCGGCGGCTTCGGCGAAAGCGGCGCGCCTGCAGTCGCCGCCCGATGTCCGAGTAGCTGGCCACGATGGCCACGAAGGGCAGCAGGAAGCCCGTGAGGGCCTCGAAGAGCAGGTGGAAGGCCTTGTCGCCGTTCTTGGGGTAGCTCAGGAAGCACATCACGGTCCGGTTGTCCCGCATCAGACCCACCTTGCGGTAGGCGATGACCGGCGTGGCCAGAAGCACCGACACCACCCAGATGCCCACCAGCACCCGCCAGGCCACCGCCTTGGTGCGCAGCTTCTGGGATAGGAAGGGCCGAGCCACAGCCAGCGAGCGGTCCAGACTCATGGTGGTGATGAGTAGGACGCTGCCGTACATGCTGACGCCGCAGACGTAGTGGCACAGGCGGCAGCCAAAGAGGCCGAAAATCCAGGTGCCCCGGGCCAGGAAGTGCAGGAAGAACGGGGCGGTGAGCAGCACGGCCAGGTCGGCCACCGCCAGGTTCAGCACCAGCAGGGCAGTGACAGAGCGCTTGCGCATCTTTGCCAGGATGCTCCACACCACGAAAAGGTTGCCAGGGAGCCCCAGGGCCAGCGCCACAGACAGGAGGCAGCTGGCCAGCAGCGGGATGAAGGAGGACCTTGCTCCAGAGGACGCCGTGGGGCCCGTAGTGTTGGCAGCCATTGGAAGCACCTGAAGGGTGAGGCCCAACAACGCCCATGAGGTGGAGGGGTGGGGGGGCTTCCTGAGGCTCCGGACTCCCTGGCCCTGAGGCCTCTCCAGGTGGAAAGTTCTGGTGTCCTCCTCTGCCCCACCCCCTCCAAACCCCCCACTGCGCATTGCCAGCGGATCTGACTTAAGGGCATCTGGTTGAGCACAAAGACTCATTTCCTAACTGGGGCATCTGGCCCCTTCCTGCCCACAGACCCAATTGCAAAATAATGAGCAAGAGCACTCAAGGTTCCCAGCCCTTTAGTCCTTTTTTCCCTTAAGAGACCATGAAACCCATGGGGCTGAAGCGATAGCATAGTGGGTAGAGCGTTTGTCTTGCACATGGCCAACCCGGGCAATTCCCAGCATCCCATATGGTCCCCCAAGCACCACCAAGAGTAATTCCTGAGTGCAGAGCCAGGAGTAACCCCTGAGCATCACTGGGTGTGACTGAGAGAGAGAGAGAGAGAGAGAGAGAGAGAGAGAGAGAGAGACCCTGAAACCCAGAGCCAGCATGGTGGGAGCTGGGAATGGGCTTTCTCCACCCTTCAAAAGCTAGTCACTCTGACCCATGCCGGGTTGTTTGGCCCCTCTGTCATTCTGACTGCCTCCAGTCACCTCCCCCTCCTCCCCAGCAATGCCCAGGGTACATTGGACACCTCAGGGATGGGAGGACCCCCAGGTAGGCAGCAAGGACAAGTTCTCCAGACTTACCTACCCAGCAGGCTTTCTTTAGAAATCTCTCTGCACCTTTTCTCAAGCTGCCCCCCACCTCCACCCTCACACCCAGGATTTTTACTTACAGGTTTTCCCGGTACTGTCGGGAGCTGGTGCCAATCCTGGGGCTCAGGGCAACGTGGTGTAGCCTACACGCACTCTGTCCAGTGCCAGGGGGGCCTGGCCCCAGGTCTGGGTGCTGTCTTCTCAATCAACCCAAGAGGAAGTACCTCAGGGCAGGGGAGGGGGAAGATAAATGTTCCAAAGGGTGGGGCTGTAGCGCCTCCCCTCTCCCTCCACTGTAGGGGACAGGCTCTGTTCCAAGGGAACCCCCCCCCCCCCCCCCCCGCCTCCCCTAAAGGGGTGGAGCCAGAGTAGAAGTGCCCAGGAAGAGGCAGTGAGAGGGGAAAGAGGGGTGAGGAGAGTGAAAACCAAGGGTGTGGTCTCAGTGCAGGTCCCAACCGGAGAATTGAATCGAGTCCTGAGTTACGTCATGGGAGAGACCAAAGGGTGGAAGCCAGAGAGGGCAATGGGCTCAGGTGGTGAGCCCAGAATGTTGAGCATCTTGGTATTTGGGGTGAACAAGGTAGATTTCAAGATGGTTGAGAAGTGTAGATTGTCGCTGTGCCCAGGTCTGGAGCATGGTTAGGTCACCAGATGGGTGCGAGAGCCACACCTGGTCTTTGGCATGTCATGATGCCATGAGTGGAGTTGGTAGGGGGCACCTGCAGCACCCCCATACTCCCCTCCTTCTCCATTGGTTCCGTTTTCACTCTACCAGTCCTCCCTTTTCTCTGGTAGAAGCAAAAGTCCAGCTGGTCCCCAAAATGCCCATTTCCTCACTTTCCCCAAAAGCCCTGCCTGCGCCTGCCCCTGGGTTTGCCCATGTGCTCGCCCATGGGACTGCCCTGCCACCTGAGCCTGGGCACCAGGCAAGGAACCCAGCACTGCCTCTATCCCACCTTGGCCAGCTTCACCTTAGACACAGAGAAAGTTGGGGGGGTGGACTATAGCACAGGGATTAGGGCGTTGGCTTGCACGAGGCCTACCCAAGTTCGATTCCTAGCATCCCATATGGTCTCCCAGCACTCTCAGGAGTAATTCCTGAGAGCAGAGTCAGGAGTAACCCCTGAGCATTGCTGGGTGTGACCCAAAAAGAAAAAAAAGAAAGAAACAGAAAGTTAAGTAGGGACAATTCTGAAGGAGCTCAGGCACTGATCTGATGGCCAAGGGGGGAGTGGAGGGGGAGGGGGGAGGGGGAAGGAGCAGGAGGGGACCAAGAAAGTGGCCAGAGCAGCAGTCCCCAGGCCACTCTGTCTGCCCCTCGGTGATAGGAAGCCAG